GGACAGCTCACATAAACATAAATAAGTATTTTAAGAATTTTACGATTTAATTAATTATTATTTGGGGAAATCTTGACTTAAATCATAGCATACAAGTTGTACCTTTATGATATTTTTTTCTTTGTTGGAGATTTTTTTTTTCATGAACTAAAATCAATTTTAAATGAAATATTAATTCAAATATTATTCGTATTTTATTTAATTTTAATTTAATTTTGTTTGTTTTTTCCAGCATATTATAAACAAACTATTTAAAATTACTTTATTATTTGAAATAAATTTTAAAAAGTCAAATATAAATATTATATTATAAACTTAATCTTAAAAAAACTTAATGTTGCCTTGGCAACTAACTGAATTAAAATAAGTTGAACTTGTAAAGTACTAAAATAACAAATAAAAACAAAAGCTAACTTAAAATATTAATAAACACTATAATAGCTTATAAATAATACCAAAACAACACTGAAATTATGACAGAATTGACATTTTAGGAAACTATTCCTTTAAAACTTCAGATGAAATGTATGTGTCATGAATATCAACCTGCTAAGAAATACAACTAAATTGGTCTGTATCTTGAAAATAGAAAATTTAATATTTATACAGTGTTTTTTTTGCCCTTTTTGGAGCAGAAGGTGAGGAAATTATGCTTTGCTGTTGTTAACTAAAACTATTAAAAACATTTTCATGAATTGAAATACATTTTAAATAAAATAAAACATAAATATTAGATTCAACAAGATAAAACAACAAATACAAATGAATAAAACAATCAAATTAAACAATAAAACATTTTTTAAAAAATTAAGTTTTTATTTTTATTTTTAATCTAATATTTATATTTGACTTTATTTAAAATAATCAAGTAATTTTAAATAGTTTGTTTATAATATACCAAAAAAATATATATAATAAATTCAAAAAATTAAAATATATTTAAATAAAATATAAAAAAAAGTAAAAAATATGAATAAATACTATAATCGTATATAATCATACTAAAATAACACTGAAACTATGACTATGAGAATGCGAACTATCCCTTTTCAAACAAGTCATAAATATCCACCTATTGCTAGGAAAAGCGATTAATCGCTGTGTTTTGGACACAGACGTACTCTTCAGAGTTGGGGTCGTACACCTCGCAGTCGTTGAGGACTCTGCCGGACACGTTGTTTCCCAGACTTCCTCCGCAGACGTAGATGAGACCGCTGGCCTCCACCGAGCCGTGACTGCAGCGCGGCATCAGCATGTTGGGCTTCGTCTGCCACGTCTCTGAGCGCGTGTCGTAGCACTCGAACAGATTCAGAGCTGAACTTCCTGTCAACACAATCCACCAATCCAACATTACTGGCTTCTCCCTTTCTCTCCAAACGCACGGGACGCTCTGCACAAACTCACCCACTTCCGACCCTCCGGAGGTGTAGATCTTCCCTTTGGAGGCGCAGGCGGCCAGACTGTCCCGCGGGTTCGGGGGTCCGAGTTTGGAGTACCAGCTGTCTTTCACCACATTATAGCAGTCCATCCGTTTGATGGGGAAGAGCTGAGAGCCGCCCAGGATATAAACCACATTGTCCCAGAACACAGACGCGGCGTCCCGTCGCTTCTCAAAGGGGCAGCGGATGTCCGTCCAACTGTAATCCTGAAACACACAAACACAGGATAAGGACTTTTAAAAATCATTTTATGCTGAATTAGATTACATAAATTAAATATATATATATATATTTACCAAAGATTTGATTAATTATTCAATTTATTATATTATTTTTATACCAACACAAAATAATAATAATTATGATCAATTTATTAACATTTTAAAAGAACATTCCATGAATCTTCATTCATCTAATTTTTTTATTTAAATGATTTAATTTTGAATCAAAAATGTAATAATTAAAAATTATTATAAATAAAATATTTCCAGTTACATAAATGAGAAAATGTATACTCATTACAGAGTTTAAAATTTGTATGACTTTATGGACTGGTTTTATTAATAATGATAATGATATTAATTAAATAATTATATAAATAAAATCTTTCCTGTTTCTCCATGGCTGTGGATCTCAGTCCCGTTGGTGTTTGTTTTTAATTATTTTTATAGATATTTAGATTACATAGTGAGCTAAATGATACATTACAAGTGATTACATGATACATTATTAAATAAAGTGATACAAAAGACTTTTACATTTTTGTTTACATTTTTTCTTTTACATTTTATTGTTTTGTTTATTTGTTTTGCAAAATAAAACAAATTAAAAAAATTATTGTTTGAAAAAATTGTTTTTCCATGACTGTGGATCTCAGTCCCAGTGGTTTGTGATTGCAGAGATTTAGATTACACAAAGTGAAACAATTATATTTATTAAAAGATGTTTACGTTTTCATGACTTTGTATTAATGATTTTATAATAATTATTTTTATTGCAAAAAAAAAAAAGAAAAGTAAATGATACAAATCAAATATTTCCACGGCTGTTAATCTCCCAGTGTAACTGACTTGATAAACCTGACATCTGCAGATAGTCTGTTGGATTCTCGAGATGATTCAGGCTGACTAGGTACGTTTACATGGACACTTTCTGCTTCCATCGGCATGAATTCATTCTGATTGACGATTCCATTGTCTTATCATATTATGATTACATGAACGCTAAATAAAGTGATCGGGTTGATATGCTCATTTATGTGTCACACACTTCTAATCGGATTTAATCTTTTGACATGCACACACTGCATGAATATACAGTTTCCCGCTGTTGTCACATACTGTTAAAAGTACACATAAAAAGCACATGTGATATTTATCTACTTCGGGTCCTAATTAGGCGATGACCAGCACATGAACTGTTGTGCAGTGCTGCTTACTTTAGAAAGCAGTAAAAGTGCCCCTTCCCAGTGCTTGAAGTGGAAAAAAAGAAGTGCTCACTCACCCCCACCCCCATTTATTTATATATTTATATTAAATAAATAAGTACTTTTTAATAATTCACAATGTATGTATAGTGCCACAATCAATCAAGCAATAATTAAATAAAAGTTCTCAATACAAATTAGTACAAGTCAAGCTGCGATACCAAACAGGACCACAGGGAGACGCCAAAGACCACTAAATCACCTGCCTTTACTACTATACGAATCCATTCAGAATCGCTAAACCTCCGACCACCGCATAATCAGCGTTCATTATAAAACACTCTTGCTTTTAAGTCAAATACACGCTGAAAATAATAATTTTACTGACATCTGGACGAAAGTCACTATTCTCTCCGCAATCGCTGATGAAATCGGCCGTGTTTTCTCTGCATTAGCACTGTTTTGAACGGTTTGAATTCGTTTACTGGATTCCTTGGACTTTGCAGGAGTTTACCGGTTTAAAATGATGTGATCGCAAAAGCCTGCTTATTTTCATTTTTAGATATTATTTTCATTATAAAGGACTAGATAAATTCACCAGGAAGAACAGCTCATTCTGCGTGTCATACGTCATTAATTAATAATTATCTCCTATTAAATTCGGATAAGACAGGGATATTACTTATTGGACCAAAATGACGTCACTGAATTCAATGATGAACTGCCTTTAACTGAAAAAATTTGTGTTTACTATTGTCAAGGGGAGTTTTATAATGACAGGACACTCATTTATGACACTTTATTCACCAGGAAGAACAGCTCATTCTGCGTGTCATACATCATTACGCTATCTCTACGTCACGGTGCATGCGCAGTACTTTCCAGTTTCGGTTTTCAATCCGATCAAGTGTTTACATGTCCTCTCGCTCAGATTACAAAAGGAATAAACCACCCCTTACAATCCGATCGAAATTTTAGCCGAATCTGGCCAATTCAATCCGATTGACGTGGTTACATGTGACTTCTGATTGTGCTTCTAGTCCTATTACGATCGGATTAGTAGGGTCCATGTAAACACAGCTAGTGTGTACCTTCGGGTTAAAGTAGCGGCAGGACTGCGGCTGTGAGCCTCCGAACAGAGCGATGCGGTAATCGTGCTTCTTGCGGCGTGGTCGACTGCTCTCCCCGAGCTCCTCACGGTCCTCTGGAGACAGAAGATGATAACGCATGCCACCTGAGAACACACAAGCTCAGAGTTAAATAATGACAGGATAAGAAATTATTTAGAACAAAAATTTTGTCCTTAATTTATTTAGAGAAACATAACTGTGCCAAGTGTAAATATATCTCAATGTCTATATATATATATGTAAACAAATATTATATAAAATAATTTTAATGTTTATTATTATACTTTTTATAGTTATAATATATTATATTTTCTTTAATTATTAAATTTTACATTATATTACATTACATTGTTACATTTTTCATTATATTACATTTCATTAATCATTTAATTTTTAGGTAAAGATAAAAATTAAATAATATGGAAAATAAAAGTAATAATACATCAAATAAATAAAAGAAAAGAAAATTAAGAATTAAATAGTTAAAACTGAACCAAAAACCAAAAAGTAAAATGTATGGATTTTTTAAAGGGGTCATCGGATGCAAAATTCACTTTTACATGTTGTTTTGAACATAAATGTGTGTTGGCAGTGTGTGTACACATCCACCCCATAATTATTTTTTTTAAATCCCTATAAATAATAACCCCAGATCAAGCTGTTCTCAGATTCTTGGCAGAGTGACGTAGTTCTGCACAGGCCCCTCCCACTATTGTTGATTGACAGTGGCGTTTTATCACAGCTCCGCCCTGAGTGAGCTGTCATCAGTCCGCCATTGTTTCACCGCCGGAGCAGATGTAGACAAGAATGACTCCTAACAAGCGATTGAGGTGTTCTGTTGTTGCATGTAATAATGAACATAGCAGTCGTCATTTACTCCCGACATCCATGGGCGGTGCTAGGGAGGGGCTAGCAGGTGCTCCAGCACCCCCAAGAGAAACCAAAGCACCCCCATAAAAAATGAAATAAAATAAAAACATCTGACTCATTACACATGCATAACTACTGCAATGCAATACAACGTGACGTGATTTGCAGTCGCACGTAATGTCAGCATTTTATTTAAAAAATGGATCGGTTCCTTGTGGCAAGTAGGCCTGCCTCCGACTAAAGATTTTTCTAGTCAACTAGTCGCACGTTTATATTAAATTGATTAGTATAATAACTAGGGCTGCCCTTGACTAAGGATTTTTCTAGTCGACTAGTAGTCGTTCATTTGAAGCATTAGTCGACTAATCCCACGTTTATTAATAAACCATTTAAATCATTATATTGGGACTTTAATTGTCTACATAGCCTAATAAGCGCTCAAGCACACGCATAAAGCTTGCTACAGCGCACTGGCAGAAGTAATGATTATGAATGTGTCAGGGAAAAACAGTAAGGAGACTGCATTAACATTTTAATAATTTGATAAACTAGTGCTTTCTATGTTTTCAGCTTCAGAGATGAAGTCGGTGACACTGACTCTTCATCTCCGCAGTAGTGATGCGCCTGTGTGCATGTTTCATACGGATTACATAATCTGAGAATTTGTTTTCCATTTGAATTGGTTCATTTGAAAGTAGAAATTTCACTCTATATAGATATATTTTTAATGTCTGTAAGGCAAAGATATACACAAAGTTTTGCGCTCAAGTTCACAGAGACCGAGACGGCAGAAAGCGCATCCTGTTCGCTTTCATTATTTTATAAAAGTGTGGTATTGTGAGTGCACGATGTATTACTCTTACCTGTATGAGCAAAAATGAGGGATTATTTTAAGAGCAAGTGAGTGCACCGGCGCCTCCATCTGTCCTGCAGCGAGCGCAACTGTTCAGCTTCCACACAGACACTTGAATAGCAGACATTTATCTAGGTTAACATTAGATTAAGCAGTCATGTAAAGTTGCTAATACTTACATATTTCAGATGATAAGCCATATTTGAGGTTGATGAATGATTGGCGAGCGTTTGGATGTCCTGCCCGAGTACTGTATTACCAAAGACTAACCGTTAACGATCTGTCAGTCACGGACTGCGCGACTGCGTGTTCTGCGACTAAGTGACTAATAACATTTTGGTCGACCAAGCCTCTTCTGGTCGACTAACGATTAGTCGACTATTAGGGGGCAGCCCTAATAATAACCTACTAAACCATCCTTTAATATAGGCATTTAGGCGTATTATAGCCTATTCCGCGCTCAAGTGCACGCATAAAACTTGCCGCAAAGATTATGAATGCATTACGAATGCATCTGTGAAAAAGAAGACATTTAAATTATTTATTAATAAACTAGTGCTTTCTCAGTCAGTGTCGGCTTCGAAGATGAAGTTGCCCAATGCCGGCGCTGACTCGCCATCTCCATAGTAATGGACGTGCCTTTAATAGAGAAATGCATCTATACGGACTACATAATCAGAAAATATTAGTTTTTTATTTTAATTGGTTTTCAAGCTTTCTGCAGATTTATTACTTATGTCTGTGAGCTGGTTCATTGTTGCGACGCGCTCCATTCACAGAGACTGCATGAGACGACAGAAAGCACATCCAAAAATGACGGGAGTATTTTAAGTTCTTTCTGTAGGAAAAAAAAAAAGGCTCTTTTATGAATCTTTGCAAATCGCCTTTCCTAATAATGTGCAAGTTAGCAAGTTCCGCGTCTAAATGCGACTGAATTAAACAGAGGGGCGGGGTGAGCAGAGCTCATTAGCATTTAAAGGGACATGCACCGGAACAGGTCGCTATGAACAGAACTGGCAACAGAACTGTTGACAAGGTAAAAACTGTGTTGTTTTACACTACCATTGAGAAATGTTAACCAAAGTATGGTATAGACTTTTCATTATGACCCTATAGTCTCAGCCTCAGACTTCACACCCACGGACCGCTGGCTGACCGTCTGATGCATATGGCACACAAAAGTGGAAGGAGTTTCGAAGTCGTCATCGGATTGGTTGAATTATACAGGATTTCCGGGAGACGTGTGTGTCGCGTTCTTCAACGTTCCGCCTGGAAACAAAGATGCCGTGACGCCAAACCCCCTCACGAAAGAAGAACGCCGTCGTGTTTACAACTGTGACGACGAGCGCTTATCAGGATCAACTAAATGCTGGATTCTCAAAAGTATGGGAAATATTTAAAGTTCGCGGCATAGAATCTTTAAAATACGTCCGAGAGTTTAACACACCGGTCTGTTATTGTGGAGACATTTCCCCGCCCCGAAACGTGACGCTGAACGAAACTAACTGTGATTGGTTGTTTGACATGTCGGCCAAACGGCCTCATGGGCGGGCCTTAGCCAATGAAAGCTGCCATGGATTCCAGACCTTCAGCCGTCAGTCTGAAGGTCTGGCTACGCGAGACTAATGACCCTAAAGAATCATATCAACTTGTAGAAAATGGGCATCCGATGACTCAAAAGTATGGGAAATATTTAAAGTTCGCGGCATAGAATCTTTAAAATACGTCCGAGAGTTTTACACACTGGTCTGTTATTGTGGAGACATTTCCCCACCCCGAAACGTGACGCTGAACGAAACTAATTGTGATTGGTTGTTTGACATGTCGGCCAAACGGCCTCATAGGCGGGCCTTAGCCAATGAAAGCTGCCATGGATTCCAGACCTTCAGCCGTCAGTCTGAAGGTCTGGCTACGCGAGACTAATGACCCTAAAGAATCATATCAACTTGTAGAAAATGGGCATCCGATGACCCCTTTAAAAAATTTATAAAATGGTTTAATAAAAGACTGAATGTCTATCACACATGAGTTTTTAGTGGTCAGGGGTCAGTAACTCACAGATGACCATTTTCAGGCACTCGGGGTTGTCCTGGATCAGCGGTTCGGCTTGAACGGTCTTACTGAGGAAGTTTTTGGATACGAGGGGGAATCGAACCTTCCCCAGAATGTCTACCATGTACTGCTGTCGATTCAAGACGTCGTACTTCAGCCACCGCACCGCTGCGTCGTAGATCTGCACAGTCGCAGATGACCCCTTTAAAAAATGTATAAAATGGTTTAATAAAAGACTGATTGTCTATCACACATGAGTTTTTAGTGGTCAGGGGTCAGTAACTCACAGATGACCATTTTCAGGCACTCGGGGTTGTCCTGGATCAGCGGTTCGGCTTGAACGGTCTTACTGAGGAAGTTTTTGGATACGAGGGGGAATCGAACCTTCCCCAGAATGTCTACCATGTACTGCTGTCGATTCAAGACGTCGTACTTCAGCCACCGCACCGCTGCGTCGTAGATCTGCACAGTCGCACAGAAACACGTTATTCACCTCAGTAAACGTACAGTAGTTGAGTTTCCAGCCGTCAGGGCGGCCCGTGTGCTGTCACCTGGTCTTCGGCTCGGACGGTCAGCGTGTCCTGCTGGAGCAGGTGCGTCACCTGTTTCACGTCCAGCTGGAGAAACTCGTCCATCTTGTAGACGTCTGTGAAGTGCTGGTGGATGAAATCATCAGCCGCCACCTTCAGCTCAGGACAGTTCAGACACTCGGCCAATGCGCTGATGCCTATCACAAAACACCCAATCACAACAGATTCACAGCTGCTGTATAATAATGCACTATATATATATATATATAGCGGTTTCTACTACTGTAAGCATAATTAACTGAAAATTATAATGTTATTTCACATGAGGCTTGTCAAATTTGATATTGGAGCTTTAATGTGATCACAGATTTTAAAAATCACATGTAACATGATTTTTTATCATATCAGATTTATAAGATCGACAATAATAACACAGAGAAATATATAATTATCTTGTATTTAACTGAAATAAAACACAAAAGAGAAACAGGCATTCACATAAATAAAATATATTAAATGTATAATAATATAAAATAATTTTAAATATATAAATATTAAATAAATAAATATTTATTATTTATTAAATGCATAAATATTATCAGTATTAAATAAATAATAAATAAATAAAACCTATAAATATTTTGCTATTTAAAACATGTAAATGTTGTTTAAAATTGTTCTACAAATAAATATAGTAAACATATAATATCAGCAATAATAACCCACAGAAATATATAATTATCTTGTGATTTAATAGAAATCAAATAGAAAAAAGAAACATCTAAATTAAACAGATATTAACTAAAAAAATAAAACATGAAAATAAAATAAATTGCAAGACAAATTAAGAAATATAAATATTTAAAATATGTTATTATTTATAACATGTAAATGTTGTTTAAAATTGTTTTACATATAAACATATACATTTATCTGTTGTCTATTTTCAGTTTATTGTTACATTACTTTGTCAATTTTAATGTAAAGATTTCACAGACCACATGATGCATATGTCAGATATCACTTTTATATGCATATTTCAGCTATCTCAGATTATGTGATGCATATGTAAGATCTCAATATATTATGTTAGATATCTCATATTATATGATGAATATATTAGATGTTAGATATAATATCAGATTTATAATATCAGCAATAATTACCCACATAAATATAGAGTTATCTTGTGATTAATAGAAATTAAACAGAAAATTTAACAGACATGAAAATAAGAATAAATGTCAGGACAAATAAATAAAAAAATTTAAATATGTATACACTGTATATATATATATATATTTTTTTTTTTACAATTAAATATAGTAAACATAAATTTACCTGTCATCTTATTTTCAGTTTATTGTAAGACATTATTGACGCACATCGTGTGAGATATTACATATTTTATTATGCATGTCAGATATCTCAGATTATGTGATGCATATTATAACTGCATATTATAAGATGACTATATCAGATATGTCTGATATACACTGAACAAAATCATAAACGCAACACTTTTGTTTTTGCCCCCATTTTTCATGAGCTGAACTCAAAGATCTAAGACTTTTTCTATGTACACAAAAGGCCTATTTCTCTCAAATATTGTACTGTCTAAATCTGTGTTAGTGAGCACTTCTCCTTTGCCGAGATAATCCATCCACCTCACAGGTGTGGCATATCAAGATGCTGATTAGACAGCATGATTACTGCACAGGTGTGCCTTAGGCTGGCCACTCTAAAATAATGATCTTGTAATTATTAGAAATACAATATAAAAACGAGAAATAGAAGATGCTGGTGTCTCACCCAGACAGTTGGTGGGGTCCACCTGGTCCTTCAGGAAATCCACACACATTTTCTTGACCGGTTCAATCTGGTACTGGTTAGCGGCGTTCAGCAGAGACTGAACGTTATTACTGTTCACTGAGATTCTGAAACAGAATCGAAACATGCATGAGCTCTAAATGCGTGTAAAATAGGTGTTATGCACCTGTGGAGAGATGTCACGTCTCACCGAGCCGTGTAGACGAACTCCACCAGCAGCTCGATGATCTCCGGTTCTGCTCCACCAAGCTCCACCTCGTGACTGGTGGCCTCCATCATACTCGCTGCACATGCAAGAGCAGCAGGATTTGTGTTAGATGTGCCTGTGTGTAACTGGAAAGATCTGTCAGATGCATGCTGAAGTGTTTCTCACATGTGAACATGAGGTTGAAGAAGTGGCTGGCGGCGGCCAGCACCACTCTGTGTGCCAGGATGTGCTTTCCCTGCACCACCAGAATCACGTCACACAGGATTCCCTGCAAACACACACCGTCAGACAAACCTGCTGTTCCTGCCAATCCCATTCCTGTGCATTAGAGACTACAAATGTACAGCCGTGCATAGAAAATGCTTGGACTTCTTTGAAAAGAGGCTTACACGGATAATGCTTTATTCATAATTTTGATTATTTCTTGATAATAAGTCACAACTTTTCATCTTCTCACCACAGTCATTCTGTACGGTCTTCAACATTATCATTGCAACTAAAAATAAAAAAATACATTTTTAATATTTTATTATTATATTTAATGATTTAAAAACATATTTATTATTTACAAAATATTTTATTTAAATAGTTAACACTGTTTTACGATTAAATATCAACAAACATTAATTTATTTTACAATTTACAATATAAATTATTTTTAAAACAGTTTTAACTTAACAATTATTATAACTAAAAATTATATATGTATTAATTGTGTCATATATATATATATAATTTTTTTTTTTTTTTTTTTTTTTTTAAATACGTTTATATTTTTTAATATTTTTATAAGTTTATATTATAACTTAATAAAAATATTAAGTTATAATAACCAAGTTAATTATAAGTTAAATTATAGTTATAAGTTAAAAATTACAAGTTAAAACTAAGTTATATAATATAATAATTATATTTTCTCTCTCTACATATAGGTGTCAGATATATAATATCAGGAATAATAACCCACAGAAAGATATCTTGTGATTAACAGAAATAAAATAAAAAAGTGAAATTAAAGAGACATGAAAATTAAAAATATATATATTTATCTTTTTTTATTATCATTGTATTATTTAACAATTGTGTAAATAATTTACAAATTATAAAATTAAAACTTGTTCCACAAAACACATTGCAAGAAATTACTTCTAGCTAATTTTATGGTAATTATGAAAATATATCGCAGTTAGATATCCCATATTTTATTATGGATATGTCAGATATCAGACTATATGATGCATATATACACTGAATGTTTCAGATTTTGTCGTGCATATGTCAGGAACCTCATGCATTATGATGCTTATGTCAGATATCTGATGATATTCACCTGTTTCCTCAAGTTATTCATCACTCCCATGATGTTGGACAATAACCTGTACTCCTCTTTGGACGCAATCTTCTTCTCGCTTTTCTTCTTGGGTCCTGATATCTTCTCGCTTGGTGTGGAGGCCATGTTCATCATGCTGTGTTATGAATATGATAAGAGCGTTTATTTGAGAGCGCACAGCGAGGTTTGCTGCTCGGCTCTGTGTGTAAATACGAGACAGGAATGATGAGAAGGAAGCGGCAGGATTTCGGGAGCACCGCCTGCTGAAAAAAAATGCAATAAGAGTCCATAAAATATTTTTTTAAAGATTATTTAAATTATTTAGTTTTTTTGTTTTCTTCAGGTAGCTACTCTGTAAGCCTCTGAGTTTTGTTTACTAGTTGCGTTTTGTATGAATTCTCGATCGGTAACAGAAACGATGTGAAGCACGTGACAATTTAACACTAAGGTCTGTCAAAATAAAAGTCCTAAACAAAAAAATATATATTAAAGGGGTCATATGATGCTTTTTAAAACTGTGCAGTATTGTAGGTCATATATGCCCCGCCTCTCTCAAATGCTTCGTTTTCTACAAAGTCCCTCCTTCCGACAAGCGCAGTCTGCTCTGATTGGCCAGCTGACCCAGTGCATTGTGATTGGCCGAACACCGCAAGCACTCGTCGGGAAAGAATGACCTCCTCTCCTAGATTCACGAAACAGTCGTCCATAAAATGCATTGCTGTTCTGTTGTAAGTAATCTTAAAGATTCCTAAATGCATCTACTTTCGGAAGGCCAAATAAAGTGCTTTTGCTTTCGCCTAGAAACACACAGCGTCTCCCTGACATGCTGCTTCAACACTAACTGCGGTTACTGAAACCACGCCTTCTTTCTTTGCGTGCACATTTGGGCGCATTATGCAAATATTCCCACATAGTGAGGTAGATATGTGGGGGTGTGTTAGAACGAGCTGTTTTAGGGGGGCGTGGCAGAGTCTTAACTTTGATAAAGAATATCTCTTTGGATTTGAGACTTTAGTTTTTGCAACTTTAGGGATCTTATCTATTCACGAACAGCTTGTAACACTCCAAAGAGAAAGTACAACTTGAAATCGCATCATATGACCCCTTTAACTGGTCTTTCAGTACCCTATTTTTATTTTGTTTTTAAAATTTCAGTATAGACTAATGCGATCTTTTGAAATGAGGAAAAAATTGAGTTATGGTTATTTAAAAAAAAAAGCGGAATGTATTTGTTTTAATTTGAAAATACATTACTTTACTTTACTTTTAGTCATTTAGCAGGCGCTTTTATCCAAAGCTACTTACAAATAAGAAAAAGTAATTAAAACTAAAAGCTAAAACTCTATAAATACTATATATACACACATTTAAGAAAATAAAAGAAATTTAATAAAAATGACAAATGCCTACAACAACATTTCAAAACATGTTGAAACATGAAAACAAAAAAATAAAGCTAAAAACAATTCAAAATATTAAAAGAACAAAAGGTATGAGAGTATAATAATGATTCGAACATAACACTAAGCCAAAAAAAACAACTACATGTGTGTATGTACAGCCACACACAAATACATAAAAATTTATTATTATTATTATTATTTAATCTTGTCTATTTTACTTAATTTCTGTTAATGTTTTTGGCTAAACTTATTTTTTTACACAAGTTTAAATTTAATAAGAGCAAGATTTATTATACTTTATTATTATTTGTTGCTTGTTTTTATTGTGGCTATAAAAGCTCCAGCACACTATATTATTGTGTATTTTCATTAAAATAATTATTTTAGTACATTTGTAAAGGAAAAGCAAAGTCATCCTATTGCACTCCAAATATATTGTCTGTATTATAGTGTCATGTTACTTTCACTAGATGTCAGTGTTAAACAAGTTATTATATTAAAAGCTGTGCCTTAGTCAGTATTAGACACATTAACTGGATGTCTAAACCAATAATTCATGGCTCTTGTTTTGCTAACAAATTGGTCTTTTTTTACATTCGTACCTTGTCAAAATAGTTTGTTTTAAGCAAAAACATTCTTTAGTGAAATTTTAATCAATGCATGTTTGCAGTCATTTTCTTCTCCTGCATGAGCGTGCAGTTATTTGAGTTGGTTTAAGGAGAAAGTGTCATGGCCAGTCAGGGCCAATTATGAAATCCCATATTAACGCCTGCAGTGGAGATGGATACAGTGTTTGCATTTATCTTTTGACTGGACATGGAGAGTTTTACATAAGAGAAGACATGCCAGGCTCTTGTCTGTGTTTAATGAGGCAGAGGAGCCAGTCCTCTCTGAACCAAACGCTCCGGCCCTGCTTCATTTCTCAAAGCTTTCATTTGAACAACCTGCTGTCAGAAGTCTGAGAGGCGATTCGTTCTGTCTCCTCGTCCACCTGGACAACGGAGGAGGCCTGAGCATGCTGGACGGCGTTCTCGCGATGTTGACAAAGGTTGAATTTAGCAGGTTTTTGTTCTGAAAAAAAAAGGACCATTCAAACAGCACTAGACAAGGTTCAATTAAACCCTAAATGAAAAAAAAAAAATCATGGTTTGGGTCGACAGATACATTTGATTGTACAGTTTCAACCTTTTTATCAAATGCACTTGGACACTGAAGTCACAATTAAAATGTAGGAATATCACTGTGCTACACAATATATATACACACAAACCCGATTCCAAAAAAGTTGGGACACTGTACAAATTGGGAATAAAAACAGAATGCAATGTGGAAGTTTCAAATTTCAATATTTTATTCAGAATACAACAGATGACATGTTTAAACTGAGAAAATATATAATTTTAAGGGAAAAATAAGTTGATTTTAAATTTCATGGCATCAACACACAAAGTTGGGACAAGGCCATGTTTACCACTGTGTGGCATCCCCTCTTCTTTTTATAACAGTCTGCAAACGTCTGGGGACTGAGGAGACAAGTTGCTCAAGTTTAAACATTATAGTATAAAATATTAGATAAAGTATTAAAGGAAGTGGTGTCTGTTTCTTTTTTTGTCTAATTTCCATCATGTCTTCTTGAATTTGATGATGATTTAATGATTTTCTTTGGGGGAAAAAATCATTAAAACATTAACTTCAAAGAGGTGATTTTTAGAATACTCTAAATAAAAAATGTAAATAAATGATATATATATATTATATAATTATATATATATAATGAAATAATTATAAAATTGGTGATTTATAAAACAAAATTAATAATAAAAAAATAGAAATATGTATATTATAAAATAATTTAAAAGATTGAAATACTGTAAATACAAAATATATATTCATTAAAACATTAACTTCAAACAGGTGATTTTTGGAATACTCTAAATAAAAAATGTAAATAAATGATATATATATATTATATAATTATATATATATAATGAAATAATTATAAAATTGGTGATTTATAAAACAAAATTAATAATAAAAAAATAGAAATATGTATATTATAAAATAATTTAAAAGATTGAAATACTGTAAATACAAAATATATATAGAGATAGGGAGAGAGAGAGAGCAACTCTGCAAAAAATAAGACAATAAAATATTAAAATAAATAAGTGCAGAAATGATAGAGATTTTCTATTATAAAATAACTTTCAAATATGTAACCAAACATGTGCTATGTGCGTGTAATCATGACTGTTTTATAATGGGTTTATTTGTTCAAAGGAAATTAAAATCAAATAATATGAAATAGAAAAAAATCATGCACTGTTGCTCAAAATCCAATATCTGTTGAGATAATGTTTTGGTCATGTGACTTTCATCAGGCATTCAAACCTAAGAGGATTAAAAAAAAAAGAGAGAGAGAGAGTAGACTACATTCAAGTGATTTAGCTTTTTCATGTTTCCCTTTAATTTATGCAAATATATTCAGATTAAATCCAATCCAAAGTAAAAACATTCACACCTTTTGGCAGCCAAATACTGTGTGTCGATATTCAATGGCTCACGCGGTCTCTCAAAAAGGCATTGAAATAGAAAGAGATGGAGAAGAGGACAAAGCAATTGAAGCGACCTCTCCTTGCAGAAGCTGAAGAGGAAAGCCGAACACACACATATTTTCAGTGTTTTTTCCATCTGTCTCTGCGGTTTTATTGCAGCTGAAGGCAACAGCAGCTCGAGTAGAAGCGCTCGCTTTGAACCTCTGAGCTGGACGAGAAAAACGCCCCGTCGTCCTATTGATTCCCATATGTGGGAGTTTTTGTTGTCATCTGCGCTTTAAAGGGGATTTTCCTCCTTATCTTTTTATAAAGTCGATTCCCATCAGACAGCAAATCATTCCTCAAAAACCGAGAGTTTCTCTTTATTTCAGGAGAGAGAGAGAGTAGACTACATTCAAGTGATTTAGCTTTTTCATGTTTCCCTTTAATTTATGCAAATATATTCAGATTAAATCCAATCCACAGTAAAAACATTCACACCTTTTGGCAGCCAAATACTGTGTGTCGATATTCAATGGCTCACGCGGTCTCTCAAAAAGGCATTGAAATAGAAAGAGATGGAGAAGAGGACAAAGCAATTGAAGCGACCTCTCCTTGCAGAAGCTGAAGAGGAAAGCCGAACACACACATATTTTCAGTGTTTTTTCCATCTGTCTCTGCGGTTTTATTGCAGCTGAAGGCAACAGCAGCTCGAGTAGAAGCGCTCGCTTTGAACCTCTGAGCTGGACGAGAAAAACGCCCCGTCGTCCTATTGATTCCCATATGTGGGAGTTTTTGTTGTCATCTGCGCTTTAAAGGGGATTTTCCTCCTTATCTTTTTATAAAGTCGATTCCCATCAGACAGCAAATCATTCCTCAAAAACCGAGAGTTTCTCTTTATTTCAGGCCTAAAATGCAAAGAGCCAAAAAAGAGAATGAGGACAGAACCTGCAGAACCAGATAGATAGATAGACAGAACGATAGATAGATAGAACGATAGATGATAGACAGACAGACAGACAGACAGACAGAGACAATATCATGATTCTATGAAAATGATCACGCCTGAGGCATTTCTTCAGTTCATCTCCCATGAAACTCATTTACAGCAGTTGTTTCTGAGCTCTCACTCAGTCATGGCGTTCTGCCCTCCTATAACATAATTAAGCAAATACAGACTCATAGAAGAGACACAGGGCCAAATCCGCCCTCAATGAGGCGTGCAGGCCTGCGCCGGCAGAAATTAATTACCAAAAGACTTCTTCAATTGTTGGAAAGCAAAGGGGCGCGTTATTGTGCCGGTGAGCGGCGGACTGGGAGTCGCTGTGAGCTGGATGTTATTTCTGTGTTTTCCACACATCACCTCTCTGGCGTGC